AAAAATAAATAGCACATTAAAAACTATCACAGCTCTATGAAGATCTGCTTTGAGAATCCTGCCTGGAGTAAAGGGATTTGGTGAGTTCTCCAGGCCTCTGTTATCCTTTTCCTTTAGTAGCAACACACTCACCAGCGGCTCAGAAGAGGTTTGGTGGACCAGGCAGCCACAGGGAAAGTCATTCTAAATTATTTATGGAGTATTGACAAAGCGTGCAGTCTTGTGCTGGGTTCTGTGGAGACCAACATGAAGACTCAGCTTCTTCACTTGTTAGCATCTCTTGTAGGGTGGAGGAGAGAGCACAGAATATACTTCCAGACTGCATATAGGTGGATAGCTGTGCCCTCTTCTGAGCAGGCTTTTTATTTTTTTTTTAAGATTTTATTTATTCATGAAAGACACACACACAGAGAGAGAGAGAGAGAGAGAGAGAGAGAGAGAGAGGGAGGGAGAGGCAGAGACACAGGCAGAGGGAGGAGCAGGTTCCACGCAGGGAGCCGACGTGGGACTCCATCCTGGGTCTCCAGGATCAGGCCCTGGGCTGAAGGCGGCGCTAAACCACTGAGCCACCCGGGCTGCCTGAGCAGGCTTTTTATCATGAAGTCTTTGATCTGTGTCCTTCAGCTGATATAGAGTCAGAATTGTGAAGAGATCATCTTCAGAACAGCCTGGACTGGGTCTTTTCTCCCGTGGGACTGCAAGGTGCTGGTTACTTTTTCCCTAGCAGACATGAAGCTGGGCTTTATCTCTCCAGCATTTCCATCCCCTCAGAGCCCCATGTCACTCTAGACCAGAGAGCATGGAACTTTATCTGGTTTCTATTTCTTCCGTGGGGCACCAGGCTCTGGGGAGGAGAACTTAGCAGGCTCTCCCCATGGCAGTCTTATTCCTCCTCCTTCTGTTCCCATGTGGGCCCCTCTGGGCTGCTGCAGGTAAGAAACAGGAGGTGGGGGAGTCTTCAATGATTTTAAAATTGTAAGGAACTACTAATGTTTCTCCTTAGGGGCCTGGGGAAGGCATCTGACTCAAGAAGATAGATTTACCCCAGCTGACTCCCCGCCCTCAGACTCTAATTCTGGGGAAGACCCAGAGACCATGAGGGTCCAGGTCATGTACAGTTTCTTTTTTGTTTGTTTGTTTTATATTTAATTTGTTTTGTGTTGTTTTGTAGAGTCTATTTTTTTCCTTTGGTTATATAGTTTCCTTTAGAAAATAAGAATAGATGAGAAAATGTGTCCAGAAAAGGAGAAATGAGAGAGAAGGGGCCTTTGCCAACCATTCCAACCTTTTTTGTCCTCTTGTCTTCAGATTCCCTCACCCACTGGAGGAGAGAGGAGGAATACCCTACTGTCTCCTCCCCTCCTCACTTTTTGTAGCTGTCACTTGAGAAATGTGCTCGTAGCCAGACCCACACTGGGAGACCCCAGAAGAGGCAGAAACGGGGGGTTGGAGGTCAACTGGGAGCTGTTGATCTGATGGAGGTTTCTGGCCTCATACAACTATTTCCCCACAGACAACATCCAAGCCATCTATGTAGCCTTGGGAGAGGCAGTGGAGGTCCCATGTCCCTTACCACCCCGCCTGAGTGGAGACGAACTCCTGTCCTGGTTCCACAGCCCCGCAGCAGGCTCCTCCACCACCCTGGTAGTTCAAGTCCAAGTGGCTAGGCCAGCCCCAGACCCCGGGAAGCCCATAAGGGCATCCAGGCTGAAACTGCTGGGGAACTATTCGCTGTGGCTGGAAGGATCCAAGGAGGGAGATGCCGGTCGGTACTGGTGTGCCGTGCTGGGTCAGCACTACAACTACCAGAACTGGAGGGTATATGATGTCTCCATACTCAGAGGTGAGCAAAGGCGTGCAGCTCAGGGGCCGGGGCGGGGGGTGGGGTGGGCAGGAAGTCCAGCAAAGAACTAAGAGGTCCCTCTCTCCCCACAGGATCCCAGCTATCTGCAAGGGCTGCAGATGGATCCCCCTGCTCTGTCCTCTTATGCTCTGTGGCCCCTGCCAGACGCCTAGACTCTGTGACCTGGCTAGAGGGAAGTGGTCCTGTGAGGGGCCATGTACAATCATTTTGGGGTGATGGGGCAACCCTGCTCTTGGTGTGTCCTGGGGAGGGGCTCTCTGAGTCCAGGGAACACAGACCAAGAATCATTCGCTGTCTCATGCCTCATAACAAAGGGGTCAGCTTTAGCCTGGCAGGTAAACTGAGGGAGAATAAGGGAGAAGATATGGCCTCTGGCACATTCTGGGCCTGCTGGCTAGGGGAAAAGGATGTGACTTTGTAATCAGTCAGATTTGGGTCAGGGATGATTTCTGGTGGAGCAGACCATCACCTATAGGAAAAGGGCTTTTGTCCTCATTGACTAACTCCCCTAACAGAGAGGGATTGCATAAGCCAGTTCTCTGGTGGAATAGACCATTGACCAAGAGGAATGGGAAGACTTCTGGTGGAATATACCATTACTTAGAAATAGGGCAATCTATGGCTTTTGTGGAATATCTCATAGCAGAGAGGAAGAAAAGAATTATTGACGGTTGAATTAACTGTCTTTTGAAGAAAAGATATATGCGGTGTTGTTATAATGGCCTACTGAGAGTGGAAATAGAAGGAGAAAAAATATATAATTGTTTTACAACTAGAGTCTGTCATACACAGAAAGAATGCTATTGGATGTTGAATAACTCATTGATAAGGCATGAGGGAGGGGCAAGTGGCCATTATTTTGGTAACCAAAGGCCAATTAATGGGCAGTGACTGGGTCTTATTTCCTTCTATACCTACAGCACCTAAAATGGTGCCTGGCCTTTGGCGGGCACTCAGGGAATGCTTATGGAGTAGACGAGTGAAAGAATGAATGAATGGAAGACACTTTACTTTTTCCTGAAAGTTTGGGTGACTGTTAAGGATATGAGGAAAGATTGCAGTTATGGCTGACTGTCTCCTCTGGAGTTAGCTGTCCAGATGTGGATGGGGGTAGATTGCTATTCCCTGCCAATGGTGGTTGATGGGGTCAGCATGAGCGGCTTAAAAATGGGCAAAGTGGGTTGGTGGAAATTGGGGACAAAGAAGCTTATGAAGTCTTCTGGTGGGAAGAGCCCACCTGACTATGTGGGGAAGCCTCTCTTTGGGGAACAGGAATAGACTCCTTACCACTTCCCTCCTTATCCCTATTCTAGCCTCCACGGATGCCTCTCCTGCCCTCTGTGCCCTTTCCACGGGCTGGGATGTGTCCTGGATCCTGATGCTGTTGCTCACGGCAGGTCAGGGATTCACCATCCTGGCCCTCAGCATCATGCTCTGCAGACAGAGGGCCCAGGGTGCTCAGTGCAAAGGTAAGTCCCTCTCTGCCAGAGGGAAGAAGAGAACATGTGGGTATGAGGCAGAGGTTTGGGCTCACATCTTGCCTCTATGCCCTATCTTCTCTCAGGGGAGGAGGTTAGTGTAAGGACTATAGCCCTGAGTTATCTGGTGATTTCTCTGAGTTATCTGGTGATTTCTCTGCTGCACCCCATATGGCTCCTTCTTCCCAGATGCTTCGATTCCTCAGTTCAAACCTGAAATCCAGGTCTATGAGAATATCCATTTGGCCCAACTCAGGTGAGGAATTCAAGGGGGTGAAGATTTAAATCCCAGAGGAAACTGGGGCCAGGGTGGGTATGGGGTCTGGGTTCCTGAGGAGGTGGAGAATGGAGGTACGCTTAGTCTGTCGTTGTGCTTCATAAACCCCACAGCCCACCTGCCCCCAAGATCAGATGATCTCCATGACATCTGCCAGAAGTGTGACCTGCTGTCTCTCCCACCATCTCGCACCTGAAGGATTCGCCTGAAAACCTTGGCAAGAGGGGAAGGGCTGAGAGTGCTACTTCACAGTGCAGCTCGGTCTCCAGCAGTCAAGCTTGGGGGAGGGGTGTGTGTGCACACATGTGCACATTGCAGGGGAGGGTGCACTGAAGGAAAGTAGAAGCATTATTCTGTGATATTACCTGCAAGAATGTGTGGTCTCCTGTTCCATAACAGCCTGTGAGAGGCGGCTCTGAGCAACCATGGGATTTGGGGGGATGGAGGGGGTGGATGGCAGGGAGGGAAAAGGAGTAGGAGTGGGCAAAGAGGAGACAGAAGAACCCAGAGACTTGAGCAATTGTGGAGACTCAGTCTTGGAGACACCAAAGGACAAACCAATGGGAAGGGACCCGAAGTAGAGAAAGAGATGGGCAGAGCTAGACAACAGAAGCACTGCTGGATGCTGGATGGCTGAGAATGGAGAGAAGACTTGGGTGTCTCTAAATTAAGCCCAACCCCCAACCCTTGCCCCCCCCCCCGTCCCCACATCCCTCCCTGCCTAGTCTCATTCCCACAGAGAAGAAATTGAGGGAGAGCAAGCACCTTTAATCAGACCTCAGACTTCCTCTCATGGACAGGGAGGGCACTGAGTCAGGATGGGGGTGGCTGTGCTCAGTCCTCACCCTTGAGCCAGCATCCTTATCCTAACACTTCGGGTGGTATCCGGAGCAGCGAGAGGCTTATCAACATCCTGACATCCTGGGAGCCCCAAGAATCACATGCTATCTCCCTGGGTAGAGGGAGTGTCCACAGGGTGGGTGGATTCCCCCCTGTGGTGTGTGCTGGGCTGTCGTAGAACCATGGACAAGTCTGGGCTGGTCAAGCGGGGGAGGGCACTGATGCTCCTAACTGCTCCATTCCCTGGTCTCAGGCAGGGAGGAGCTGGCTTCCCCACCACACCCTAACAAGCAACTCCACCAGACACCTTTTGTGTGTCTGCTCAAGCATGGGCCTCACTGGAGAAAAGCTTTCTCTGAAGTGTCACCAAAAGCCTTCATGCTACAGTGGCTTAAACTAAGCTATTAGCAAGAAGGAGGACTCAATGACACAGACAGAGGATGAGGTGGGCCAGCAGCCCAACCCAACCCACCAAACAGCTCTAGTCTGCTTTTAGAGAACACACATACACACACAGTGCAGTGTCCTGGACTCCTAGATATCACCTTTTTACTGTTCATAGTTTATTGTTCACAGTTCCCCCAAGAACCTCCTTCCCAAGTTCCTGATCTGCCAAATCAATCGTTCCTAGTAATCGTTCCTTACCATATCTGGTGCCCCATCAATCCCCTTGCCTGAAACCCCAGCTCCATCAACACACCCGCCTTGCCCAAGACCTGGAGCTGAGATAGGGCATCAGCAGTGGGCATCTAGAAAAGATAAAAGACCTAGAACAGCTGTTCTTTATGAGGCAGAACTCTGGGCAGGTGCCTACAGGGGCTTAGAGCAGTGCCCGCAGGAACCAGGCGTCCGGAGGGTGTCTGGGAAGGTGTTAGGCCAGGGATCTGAGGTCTCTACAGAATCAGGTTCTTGGTTCTCAGATGCAAGTGTCTCCATGGGTGGTGATGATGGGGCCAGAGTTCTCCATTGAAGGCTGCAGTTAGGCTTGAAGCTAGTGGAGGAGGCCGCCTCCCCAGGTGAAGCTGGTGGCGAGGAGGAGCAGGGTAGTGAGGAGGGTTTTGGGGAGCCGCTGCAGCGTGGTGGCTGTGTTGCACAGGTCCTGCTCACAGCAGTGGTGTCGCAGAGTGTAGGAGCGCGACCAGTAGGTAGCGTGGCCTTGCAGAGGGCACTGGGCCCTTGGGAGGCAGCCTTTCCGTTCAATGATCTCATTCTGCTCTGTGGGACAAAGAGAATGCTAAGGCCTGGGCAGGAAGGAGGCAAGGGCTGTGGGGCAGCAGGGAAAACAGAATAAATGGATGGAGATGGGCCTGGAGAAGGGCCATTGGACCAGAGTCCTACCTGAGGTGCCAATACTGATGCCACAAGCTTCATCTTCCTGACACTCGGTGGGAACAGGGTAGCAGGGTTTGGCAAAGCTGCAGGTGTAACAGTGGAGCCCGAGCCGACCCCAGGTAGGGGGCGGGGGTGTGGTGAGACCTGCGGGGTCAGCACAGATCAGGTGAGGCAAATGGGCTGCTGAGAGGCTCCAGCCCTGATCCAGGATGGGGAGTCATGCAGAGAAGTGACACACAAAGTGGGGAGAAGGAAGCGGAAAGAAAGGAAGGGAGAGGGGCAGACAAAAGTAGAAAAAGAGACGCAGGGAACGGAGGGGAAACAATGCAGGAAAAGAAAAAGACCCAGAGGCAAAGGGATCCAGAGGTTGTAAGAAATGCACAGATGGGACAGAAGCCATAAGAGTCAGAGAGTGACACAGAAAGCCAGACAGGGGAAGGAGGGGTGGCAGTGAGGAAATTAAGCAGATGGTGCCACAGACAGAAGAGCAAATAAGAATTGACACTGACCACGGGGACCCCGGAGAAGCAAGATGTGAGACAAGGAACAGGGGCAATAGAGGACAGAGGCCTGTCATGATGCTACCAAGAAGAGAGAGAGTTATTCTCAAATGCCTTTGAAAAGAAACTTCTGGGGGTGCCCAGGTGGCTCAGTCCTTGAAGCATCCACCTTCAGCTCAGGTCACGATCTCTGGGTGTAGCCCCAGTCCCTGCTCAGTGGGGAGCCTGCTGCTCCTGCTCCTCCCCACTCGTGCTCTCTGTTGCTATCTCTGGCTCTCTCTCTCTCTCTCTCTCTCTCTCTCTCTCTCTCTCTCAGATAAATAAATAAATAAAATTTAAAAAGAAAAGAAAAGAAAAAAAGGAAAAAAAGAAAAGAAAAGAAAAGAAAAGAAAAGAAAAAAGAAAAAAGTAACTTCTGATTCCACTTTCTCCTGGCCTGAGGCCATTCCCAGGAGCTCTCCTCTCAAAAGCCCAACTCTCCTCTCTGCGTCTTCCCCACCTCTGCACACCGGCCCACCCTTACCCAGCGCCCCACAGAGGAAGAGGAGGCCCAGGAAGATGCTGGCGGTGCCCATGACTGGCCCCAGGACTCAGGCGTCTGGAAGAATGGGATCTGCACCCCGAGAGATCCCGAGAGCTGGAGCATCTGAGCGAGGCAGGGAGGGACGAGTAAACAAACACACCTAGGGAGATAATCTGGGGGGTGGAACCGGGACCAGATCCACCAGCCTGACGCAGCAGGGGCCCAGGGCCACCGATCCTGCGCCCCACATCTCTCACACCCTCCCGCCCCCTGCTTGAGTCGACATGAGCCCCGGGTCTTCTCTGTTCTGTGCTTGTCACTTGCAGCTGCGTCTGCCGCTCTGGGTTCTGTCTGTCACCTTCCCCCGCACTCCTCTGCACCTCCCCTTGTCTCAAGCTGTTCTCTGCTCTGGCAGCTCAGCATCCTGTCTTTGTTTGCTCCATCTTTCTCCTCTCTGTGCTTTGGAGTCTCTCAAGGTCACCCTCCTAGAACTGGTCCAGCACAGCATTTGAACATGGAATCAACAATCCCCTCTCCCACCCGCCCCTCCACCCAAAGCTCAGCTGCGTGAGCGGGACCCCACCCAGCTTCACATCCCTTTGATCCCTCCAAGCCTCAACTTTTGTACCCCATAATTATCTCTCCCAGATTTACTACTGTGGAGGAAGGAATTAATCACGGGTGGGGCCAGAGGGACAGATGCGTTTCCACTTGTGTGGGTGGGGGCGGTCAGAAAGACTAGGAAGGAAAGCAGGGAAAAGATTTAGGAAGTGATAGAGATTCTGGAAAATTGGGGTTTAAGACATTGAGGAGGAGAGCCTGATCTGGGGAATCAGAGCAGGGGTGTACCAGGGGTTAAATAGGAGAGAGAGGAGACAGATATCATTTATTTATTTATTTATTTATTTATTTATTTATTTATTTATTTATTTATGATAGTCACACAGAGAGAGAGAGAGGCAGAGACACAGGCAGAGGGAGAAGCAGGCTCCATGCACTGGGAGCCCGACGTGGGACTCGATCCAGGGTCTCCAGGATCACGCCCTGGGCCAAAGGCAGGCGCCAAACCGCTGCGCCACCCAGGGATCCCTCCTTTTTTTTTTTTTTTTTTTTTTTTTTTTAAATCTCAGGACCTGGGATCCCTGGGTGGCGCAGCGGTTTGGCGTCTGCCTTTGGCCCAGGGCGCGATCCTGGAGACCCGGGATCGAATCCCACATCGGCCATCCGGTGCATGGATCCTGCTTCTCCCTCTGCCTGTGTCTCTGCCTCTCTCTCTCTCTCTCTCTGTGTGTGACTATCATAAATAAATAAAAAAAAACAATTAAAAAAAAAATCTCAGGACCTCTTTACACTCATAAAAATCACTGAAGACCGGGATCCCTGGGTGGCGCATCGGTTTAGCGCCTGCCTTTGGCCCAGGGCGTGATCCTGGAGACCCGGGATTGAGTCCCACGTTGGGCTCCCAGTGCATGGAGCCTGCTTCTCTCTCTGCCTCTCTCTCTCACTGTGTGCCTATCATAAAAAAAAAAAAAATCACTGAAGACCCAAAAGAGTTTTTCTTTGTGTGAGTTAATATAGGCATTTACTAGAGTATTTACTAGATTTGAAATCCAAACAGAGGATTTTAAATTGGTTTATTTAAAAATAAAAATAATAAACCTATTACGTGTTAACAAAATATGGTTTGCGCAGTCATTTCTTTCCCCACAACACAGAAAAGGAGTATCGCTCTACACTTTGGGGAATTACATAAAAGTCAGGCTTAATAGAAGATGACTGGACTTTCACATCTGCTTCTCGGCTCAGTCTCTTGGGATATGTTGTTTTGGTTGAAGTACACGGAGAAAATCAACCACGTATAGATATGTAGTTGGAAAAGGAAGACCAGGGAGGACCCTCTGAAAGGGTCTAGGGCCAGGAATTCTGGGGCAACAGCTCTACAGCCCCTGCTGCGGACTTCAGAGGACACTGAAGGCTCTTAATCTCACAGGGCCCCTCCCTGTCCCCACTGGGGCCCAAGTGCCTGCTGGGGGAGATTCTTTCCTCCCTTTTTATTGCTCTATAAAGCCCAAGGCAAGGGATATAAAGCTGGCAGTCAGGGCCAGGGGAGGTGGGCAGGAGAGAGAGATAATACTAAAGCAGGCAGACGCAATGAACTCCCTACTCATGGGGGTCCTGCTCAGCACTCTGTTGGGGTCTACCCTGGGTAAGGAGGCAGCCAAGGCCTGTTGCCCTCTGCCAACTGGCTCCCTATCAGTCCAGGTCAAGCACCTCTTCTCTCCTGCCAGGAAACCACATGCGGTGCTATGAATGCAGAGGAGACCCCAGCAGCTCCTGCAAAGAGACAGTGGCCACCTGCGGGGAGGGGAAACGCTGTGGCTTCCTGGAGCGCAAACCCCAATCAGGCCTGGGACAGAGCAAGCTGTCTAGAAACCGTGAGTCCTCAGTTTCTCCGTCTTCTCTTAGCCCTTCCCTGCCTCCAGCTTCTACTTCCATCTTTCTGGTATCCAGAACCTTCCAGTCCCAGTCTGGCTTTGGACAGATGGTGCCACGGCAGAGTAGAGGAATCTGAGGCCTCTTCTGGCTCTGGCACTCTTAGCAGCCCATGGTTCTTGTACTCCCACCTCCTCCGCTTCACTCTCCAGGGTCTCATAGGGCCATTCACTCATAAGGGGTTGAAAAAGTTCTGTCCCTTGAAGGCAGGGACCAAAATATATTTTTAAAAAGATTTTATTTATTTATTCATGAAAGACACAGAAAGAGAGAGGCAGAGACACAGGCAGAGGGAGAAGCAGGCTCCATGCAGGGAACCCAATGTAGGACTCAATCCTGGATCTCCGGGATCACGCCCTAAGCCCAAGGCAGAGGCTCAACTGCTGAGCCACCCGGGGGACATGGGACCAAAATATTAAACCAAACTTGCAGACATTAGCTAAGAACCAGTGTGTTGTGTGTGTGTGTGTGTGTGTGTGTGTGTATGCATGCGTGATTCTGAAATAATTTCTGATTGACAGAAAAGTTGCAAAAATAGTAGAATTCCTGTATATCTTTCACCTCCCTTCCTCTAGTGTTAACATGTAATATAACCATAGTATGATCATCAGAATCAGAAAATAACACTGGTACAATACTGCTAACGAGGGGTGCCTGGGTGGCTCAGTCGGTTAAGCATCCAACTCTTGATTTCGGCTCAGGTCATGATCTCAGGGTTGTGAGAGCAAACTCTAAATGGAGTTCCGTACTCAGCAGGGAGACTGCTTGAGGATTCTCTCCCTCTCCTTCTGCCCCTCCTCCTGCTCTCTCTTTCTTTCTCTCTCTCTCAAATATATAAATAAATATTTTAAAAAATACTACTAACTAATCTACAGACCTTATTCAGTTTAGCTAGCTGTTCTAATTATGTCTTTTTGTCTAGTCCTGTATCCAAACCAAATGAGAGTTCATCCACTCGATGTGCACAAGCCAATAAAAACCAACATCGGGCTTTTTTTTTTTTTAGATTTTATTTATTTATTCATGACAGAGAGAGAGGCAGAGACACAGGCAGAGGAAGAAGCAGGCTCCATGCAGGGAGCCCAATGTGGGACTCTATCCCGGGTCTCCAGGATCACGTCCTGGGCCGAAGGCGGTGCTAAACCACTGAGCCACCCGGGCTGCCCAACATCGGACTTTTACAGTAAAGAAAAGCTATTTCTTGGTGTGGTACCAACGAGGAAATAGGGAGCTAGTGCTCAAAAGTCCCACCCCCACCACCTGACAGCTTGCAAGTGAGAGTTTTTCAGGGCAAAATTGGGGATAGTGGTCTTCTGAGCAGGTGGACATTATGGATTGGAGGCCTATGAGGTCATGCTAGCAGGTGTTCTGGTGCCACTGCGTCTGGTCCCCCAGAGGTCTTTTCCATCTCCAGAGACTTGGAATCTAAAGAAATGTCTTCATTCTTCATGTTAGAGATCTCATTAGGTACATCTTTTTTTTTTAATTTTTTTTAATTTATGATAGTCACACACACACAGAGAGAGAGAGAGGCAGAGACACAGGCAGAGGGAGAAGCAGGCTCCATGCCCCGGGAGCCCGACGTGGGATTCATGGGTCTCCAGGATCGCGCCCTGGGCCAAAGGCAGGCGCCAAACCACTGCGCCACCCAGGGATCCCTGGAATTTTTTTTTTAACCAGAACACCACAAAAGGAGAGGTTGGTTCTTTTCAGTGCATTGAATCAGAGGACTCACATTTTTTAAGTTAATCTTGGTCACTTGGTTTCATGGAGGTGGTTTTCTGAGGGGTGCAGAGAATCCATGTGGGCTCCTTGAAGTACATCTGCTCTGTCCTAGAAGGCAAGTCCTCCAGCCAAGAATCCAACACCCCAGTCTTGTTTTCTCTCTTAGCCTCGATAACCTTGATTCATCACTATCCAGCCTGCGTGGCAGCCCATCATTGCAATCAAGTGGAAACCGAGTTGGTGGGAGACGTGACTTACACAACCCACAGGGACTGCTGCGTCGGAGATCTGTGCAACAGTGCCATGGCAAGAATGGTGGCCCCACCACGATTTGTGGCTGCAGGAGCCACTGCCCTGGCCTGGCTCCTGCCAGCACTGTGGAGAGGCTAGTAGGCTGTGGGGAGGGCAGGCGGGAGGAGTAAGGGAACAAAGGAGATGTGAGGTGAGAAGACAAACACCCCTCTGTGAGCCATTAAAATCTGTCTGCCACTTTAGCACTGACTGGAAAGTGCCATCTCTTTTCGTTAATGCGAGAATTGCAGGAGAATTATGGGGACACCCATGCTTTATTTACCAAGTATCCATGGACTTTGTTCCAATAGTGTTCTCCTTGACCAATGAAACCCCAAAGAACAATGGAGATCTGCCCCAAGTGACTCCTGGATCCTACTGCTGGGGAGAATCTTCCTTAGCAGTGAAGACCACTGAGGGGAGTAGGCTCTGGGCTGAGTGGGGGTCACCAGGAATCAAAGAACCTTGTTGAGTCTGTTCCTCCTACTCCCATTTGCAATTCGGTTCCTGATGTGACCCTATAGGATTGGGAAAGGAAAGGAAAGCACTGAGATAGGCGGGTTGCTTGGTGCCCTGTTTAGCAACCTGGCCAGGAGAGGCCCTTGTCTCAAACATGAAGGACTGGGACTCAGCCCAAGCATATCCTTTTTGGGGGCACCCTCAAGCCAGGCTGCACCTCCTTCTTGGCAGTACATCAGAGGTGTAGCCTAAATTTGGGATAAGGATTGTTGCTCCAAACACTGGGACCTGTGTGCCATCCCCAGACTCCCCAGACTCAGGAAGGAAGGATGGAGGCCTGAATAACCCGTTTCTCCATTTGCCCCAACCCAGCCTCCCAGGGAAACTCCCTGGAGGATTCTTGGGGGTGGGCAGGAACCGAAAGTGTTATTTCCTGAGAGGGAGCTTCTGACAACAGGTCTTTTGACAATAAACACACAATTTATCAGACACAGACATTTATTACTCAAAATGGAAAGAGGTGAGCATGAGGATGAGATACGTACAGGGACCAGGGTTTAGGGAATCAACCCCATACAGTGAGGTCATCGGGTCCTTCCTGGGAGCCTTTGCGGGGGACAGGACAGAAGCCCCATTTCAGGCCCAGATCCCCATCCCTCCCCTAGTCGGCATGGTGGAGTGTAGGAGGCAAAGCAAGGAGCTCTTTTGGCGACCAGTGGGAGATCTGGAATGGTCTGGAGGGATATGGGAAGGGATTCAGGAAAAGCTGAGTGGAGTATGGAAGCTGGAAGGATGGGTGAGGAGCCCACTGTTTAATTAAAGAAATGTGAAGAGCCTGGAGAAATGCTTTTCTGAGCAAAGGGAGTTAAGGAGAGATGAGTATGGGGAACCCGGGGACAGGGAGACTCGGCTAAGCTCAAGCTAGCCGAGGAGGGGCAGCCAGGGAGTGAGTCTTAGTGCAGCAGCCAGAGGCCAAGGCCAGCCAAAGAGGTGAGGAGGACAAGGGACAGGGCTGGGGTGGGCCGAGGGGCTGGGCTATTGCAGTTGTCCTTGCTGCAACACGTGGTATTATAGATCAGACCCAGCTTGTGGTTGGTTTGGTTGAAGGTCTCCCGACAAGGCTCTTCTGGTGTGCCACATCGAAGGTTGGAGAAAACCCACATCTTACCTGAGGGCAGGAGGGGGCCGTGGGGTCAGCTGGGACGGGTGCTCGGTGTGCCTGTGTCCACCTCCCCTCCTCAGGCACCCATCCAGGCTTCCTTTCCGACCTTGCGGGGGCCCTCCCTTCTTTATCTCTTCTCAGTAAGTCTGTCTGCCTGCACTTCCTTCCCCACCCCCTCGCCCCAGTCTTGGTCCTAGGACTTGTTGGCTGTGAGGCCTTGGACTTGTTACTGTCTCTTTCTGAGGCTGTATCCTCAGTATAATAAAAGCACGCACATTCACAGGGTTCTCGTGAGCATGAAGTGAAGCAATCCACATAAAGTCATAGAAAGGTGCCTGATACGTAAGAATCCTTGGCCAAATGTCATCATTGCTGTGACTGTCATCATTGCAGTGACCATCTCAGTCTGAGCCACAGTTGGGCCCCAGCCCTCGCCATAGTCTCCCACCAGCCCCCTCTCCACACTACAGAGGAAGATGTTACCGAGGTACACATTTGTTGTCAGGCACTGTTGTCCCGGTTCCAGGCGACAGGACTGCCGGTCCACGCAGCCCAGCACAGGGACTTTGTAGCAGGAGTGACAGCGAATGTCAGCTGGGAAGACACAAGTCAGGCTGAGGTGATGGGGAATCTGACTCACCTGGAGACCAGCCAAGCTGGGGGGTAGGTGGACAAGAGCCAATCAAGTAGGTGTTCTGACCTGGTTGCTTTGCTGGTGACAGAGCAGGTGAGTGCAGCAGAAAAAGTGGAAGTAGGCGAGGGTGGAGTCATTACTCTGTGAATACCTACACCCTAAATATCATCTTTTACCCCACCCCATTTGGGGATGAGTCAAGAGGGGCAGAGATACCAACAAAAACATGGGGCTAGGGATAGATGGAATGTGGGGATACTGTGGGCAAGGAAGGAGGTGAAGGAAAAGATAAAGGAATTCAGAAAATGTCACAGATGGAAACTTCAAATTAGAAGAAATACTACAAATAGAAATCATGGTTGTTGGGGTTCCTGGGTGGCTCAGTCTAATAAGCGTCTGCCTTTGGCTCAGGTCATGACCGCAGGGTCCTCAGGTCCCATTGAGCCCCATGTCGAGCCCCACATCGAGGAATGGATGTGCTCACTTGTGCTCTCTCAGATAAATAAAATATAAAAATATTTAATTATTTATTCATGAGAGACACACAGGGAGAGGCAGAGACACAGGCAGAGGGAGAAGCAGGCTCCATGCAGGGAGCCTGATGTGGGACTTGATCCCAGGACCCCGGGATGACGCCCTGAGCCGAAGGTAGATGTTCAACCGCTGAGCCACCCAGGAGTCCCTAAATAAATAAAATCTTTTTTTTTTATAGAACTGCCATATATTTTTTTAATTTATTTTTAATTTTTATTTATTTATGATAGTCACACAGAGAAAGAGAGGGAGAGAGAGAGAGGCAGAGACACAGGCAGAGGGAGAAACAGGCTCCATGCACTGGGAGCCCGACATGGGATTCGATCCCGGGTCTCCAGGATCGCGCCCTGGGCCAAAGGCAGGCGCCAAACCGCTGCGCCACCCAGGGATCCCTAAATAAATAAAATCTTTAAAAAACAATAAATAAAATAAAAATCATTGTTGCAACATTGCATGAATGGCTTGGAACTTGAGGCTGGCAAGAAAGGCACCTGTGGCAGGCTTTAGCAATTTACTCTCATCACCTGGAACCACCATGATGTGGAAAGAGGAACCAGACCCGAGTGAGTGGGATCCTCTCACTCTGGCAGCTCTCAGACAGAAAGGAATAACATTTGGGAAGCAGATCATCAGATGCTGTCTGAGCACCTCACCAGAATGGAGACAGTGGATGCAGAAAGTGTTACCCTCCAAGTTCCCACCTCAGCTTATTCCAGGTTTGAGTGAGCAAAGTTTGGTGAAGGAGGGGTTCAGTCCAAGGGTAGAGCAACCTGGTGACTGCACCTCTGTGAAACAAATCCACTTCATCCTGGGGGCGGGCAGCCCTGGCATTCCCTCCCTAGAAGGCTGGGATATCTCCCTAGTTCCCCGGGAGGTTCTAGATTACTGGGAACCTCTAGAAAGCTTGTGTCCCTGCAGATACCCGGGGAAGAGCAGGAGTGAGCTAGTAAAGGCCACTGCTTGAAGGGCTGAGAATAGAATATGAAAGAGTAGATGGGGAGGGTGGGGCACACAAGAAGCTCCAGGCTGGATGCTGGTTTCTGAGAGAGCTCTGCTGAGCGCAGGTGGTGAGAGGAGAAAGCAGTAAGCTGAGCCCCAAAGAGTTTGGTAGTGGAGTGGGGGACAGGGGATCTGGAGCCCTGGCAGGTTAGAAGAGTGGATCTTGGAGGTGGGCAGAAGTGTGAGACATGAGTCCTCGAGAAATGGAGCCAGGACCCTGTCACAAGGAGGTCTGGTTCTGGAGGCACAGGAGAGCTGCCGCATTTGGATCCCTGTGCTTGGGATCCTGAGCAGTAGGCAATGGAGGGCAGTGGAGGGGGCAAGGTGCAGCAGTCCCTGGGGCCCCCCAGTGCTCACCTGAGACCCGGCAGAGCAGAGCAGACAGGGTGAGCAGCAGAAGACCTTTCATGATGAGGGTCCCGAGAATGGTAGTGAGGGCAGCAGCGGACAGAGGTTTTCGGGCACCCAGCTCCCACGGGGCGTTGTGAGGCCTTTTTAGAATTTATAATCCCAACGGTCCCTCCCTTCCCTGCCCCTGGTGGCCCCTCCTTCCCCATTTACACACAGATGACCAGGGATGGGGAGGGACTAAACTGAACTGGGTGAGGGAGTAGGGATAGGAGAGAGAGAGAGAGTGGAGGGTAGGTACACTCGCGGCCAACTCCATCTTGGTTCTTGGTTTCAGACACCCCTCCCAGTTCCCAGCTGACATCCCTGCTGGCCCAGTCCTCTGAAAAGGCATCACCAATGCCCCTGTGATGTTACACTGGCTGTGGGCACAAGGCCTGCTGGACCCTGGGAAATGGACAATGGGGTGAAGCCCACACTAACTGCTAAGTTTGGGTCCTTGGGGGGCATTGGTAGGGGCTCCTGAGCAGAAACTTAGGATAGAAGAGGCCAACTTAATCTGTATTCAGCCCTGACATGGTCTTCCCAACTACTGCTCAGCCACAGGATGAAGGACGAAGGGTTTGTGATGTCACCAAGGGCTCCTGTGATATCACAACAGCAGAGGCATAGGCTGGAGCTGCCCACTGAGGTGCTGTCTCAGGCCCTTAGAGGGTTCTTAGAACTTGCCCTGGCTAAACTAAGGCCTGGCCTGGCCTGCTTTAGTTCAGTGAGGGCCAATGAAGTCCGGGGTGGGGCATATGCACCTGCTCCAGGGCGCTTCCCAAATCAAACCCTGCCAGTCTGGGTGGGGACACCATTGGCCAGGAGGGACAGCATGGGCATAGAGAGATGAAGTATAAGCTAAAATAAGAATAGAAATTGTAATGATCATAATAGTGATGAGCACTGAGTGAGTGCTCCTGTGTGTCAGCCATTGTTCTAGGCATTTTAGGTGTATTCCTTTTTTTAAAGAAATTTCTCAATACTCTGTGACATAGGTGCTTTTATCCCTGTTTTATAGATGAACCAACAGGCCCAGAGAAGTTAAGCAACTTGTCAACATCACTGGCTAGTAGATGGTGAAGGCAGGTCTTTTTTTTTTTTAAGATATTATCTTAAATAATAAGATAATTCTTATATTATTATTATTATTATTATTATCATTATTATTATTATTATTATCATTATTCATGATAGGCACACAGTGAGAGAGAGAGAGAGGCAGAGACACAGGCAGAGGGAGAAGCAGGCTCCATGCACCGGGAGCCCGATGTGGGATTCCATCCCGGGTCTCCAGGATCGCACCCTGGGCCAAAGGCAGGCACCAAACCGCTGCGCCACCCAGGGATCCCTAATTCTTATATTATTATAAATACTATTTATAATATAAATAATATAATATAAATACATAAAATAATAATATAATATAAATATATAATATAATATAATATAAATATATAAAATAATATATGTAATATATAAATAATATAATATAATAATATTTTATTTTTTTTATTTTATTTATTTATGATAGGCACACAGTGAGAGAGAGAGAGAGAGAGAGGCAGAGACACAGGCAGAGGGAGAAGCAGGCTCCATGCACCGGGAGCCCGACGTGGGATTCCATCCCAGGTCTCCAGGATCGTGCCCTGGGCCAAAGGCAGGCGCTAAACCGCTGCGCCACCCAGGGATCCCTAATAATATTTTATATTATATTATTTAATATTAAGATATTTTTAAAGATATTATCTTATTATCTTTTTTAAGATATTATCTCGTGATTAAATAATCACGAGAGAGAGAGAGAGAGAGAGAGAGAGAGAGAGAGAGAGAGAGAGAGAGGCAGAGGGAGAAGCAGGCTCCACGCAGGGAGCCCAACAAGGGATTCCATCCTGGGACCCCAGGATTACACCCTGGGCGGAAGGCAGGCACTAAACCGCTGAGTCACCAAGGGATCCCCTGAAGGCAGGTTTTGAACTCAGACCTCCAGGATGTTCTAGGCCACTGCTACTCTGCCTGCGGGGGGGGGGGGGGGCAGGAGTGGGGGGAGTAAAGTATTCGAAAGTGCTTCTGTAACCAGTCTGAGCACCACTTTCAACTGAGTATGGTTTGAGGGCTGTGAGCGATCCTGCAAGGACTCCCAGAAGGATCCTGGCAGCTGGGAGCCCCGCCCTGCTGTTATCAGAGCCCCCAGACCCGCAGGCCTCCCCACAACTCCCCCTAGTTTCCCTCCGGTCTCCTCCTCCACTGATCCACTCACCTTCTCTCACCACCACACCCAGGCCATGGCCTTGGTTCTGCAGCTGCTGCTGTTGCTGCTGTTGAGGGTCCAGGGGGACCCCGGGGGTAAGCCATCCTGCCCCCAGGAAAGTTGGGATGGGCTCGAGGGAAGACGGGGGTGGGGGTGGGGGGTGGGGGCGGTGATGAGTGTGGTTAGATCCCGGCTGGCAGGAGTGCGGAGGAGAGGAGATGAGAGAGAGAGAGAGAGGACTTGGGAGTGGGCTTTGTCCGGCCCTGCAGACTGGCCCTAACTCCTGCCCCCTCCAACTCCAGCCTCACTGGACGGCCGCCCTGGAGACCGAGTGAATTTCTCCTGCGTAGGCGTCTCGCATCCCATCCGCTGGGCCTGGGCGCCCAGCTTCCCTGCCTGCAAGGGCCTGTCCAAGGGACGCCGCCCAATCCTGTGGGCCTCACCGAGCGGGACCCCCACTGTGTCTCCCGTCCAGCCATTTGCTGGTCGCCTACGTGCCCTGGACCCTGGTATCCGGTGGCTAGAGCTGCTCCTGAGCGCTGGGGACTCAGGCACCTTTTTCTGCAGGGGCCGCCACGAGGAAGAGAGCCGCACGGTGCTTCACGTGCTAGGGGACCGGGCAGATTGCAAGGCTCCAGACCACGGTAGGTCCAGGGCTCCGCGCTCCGGACTTAACTCGGACACACACCCTCGTGGGCAGAGGCCTTGGCTGGACAGCTAGTTGTCTGTCCTCGCACCCCCGACCTCGGCATCCACCACCACCCCTTCCTCCGTTCCCCCAGGGTCCCTGTATCCCCAACTCCTGATCCCCCTGCTGGGCGCTGGGCTGGTGCTGGGACTCGGGGCGCTGGGCGTGGTCTGGTGGTGGCGCAGGTGAGCACCGTGGGCGGGCCCGGTTACACGGGCCGGGTCCGCGGGAGGGGCAGGACCAGGGCCTCCGTGGGCCGCAGCTGGACCGAGAGCCCTGCCGTGCGGCCTAGAGGGGAATGGGCGAGGTCAGCGCTTGGGCGGAGGCCCGGGGCGGGTAGGTGGAGCCGCGGCTAGGGAGGCGAAGCGGGAGCCCGAGCCGGGTCAGAGCGTGGGCGGAACTGCCTGTGGGGTGGGGGTGGGGAGCCTAAACTGTGCGCGGATCTGAGCCTTGGAGTTGCTGGGTTGCTGCTGGAGGACGAGAGACAAAACTGGTGGCCCTCAGAGACTTATACATCCGTTACAGACGATCACCTCCGCATCCGCCTCCGCATCCGCCTCGACCACTCCCCAGATTTGGTGAGACTAACTCCACCCCATTTTCCTTCTTCCACTCCCACACCTCCCACCTCCCAATTCATGGAGTCTGAGCCCTTGCTGGGAGCAGTGTTGGTCACTTTCTCTCAATTCTTCAGCTCTGTCTCCCCCATATAGAACCACTAGTGAAAGTCGACTCCCAGAGGCCAGTAAAGGAGGAGGAGCCTAAGATGGCAGGGGACCTGGACCAGGAGCCGGTAAGGGCCTGGGGATTGGAAGGGGGCCGGCCAGAATCCCCAAGAGCAGTGGACCAAGAAGGACAGAGTCCTGTGTCTCCCAGCGAGTCGGACTTCTGAGACCCCCCCTGCCTCCCTCCCCACCTTTCAGAGCCTGCTCTACGCAGACCTGGACCATTCGGCCCTCAGAAGGCCACTACGGTTGTCGCCAGTGGTTCCTGCTGATGCCTCCACCATCTATGCAGTTGTAGTTTGAAGGGAAGCCCTTATTGCAAACCTCACAAGCTGGAGGTTCTCCACAACTCCCGGCCCCTTCCTGGTCCCTCACCTGGAAAAGGAATGCACCGCGAGATAGAACTGAGCACTAGCTTGAGTCAGGAACCCTGAGTTCCAGGCTATCTCTCTGCCACTGATCTTGCTCCTTCAGTTACCTCATCTCTCCTATAACCTTCACGTCTCCTTCACCACCAGTGCCCTCTCTAAACCTGATCAAGCCCTGTCTCCCCATAAGATATCAACAAGTTCTAGATGTCCTGTTTCTTCCCTTCCCTCCAGTCCAGCTCTTTGAGCCAGGAGCCTACACCTTTCTTCCCCTTCACTCCACTCCCACTGCTCACCTCTTCTTCCCCTTCACTCCACTCCCCCTGAGGTTGCCAGTCAGGTCCTAATGGTCACTCCCAGTAGATTTATGGGCTTGGTCTTCGATTATTTTCATCTTTAAGCTGTTTTTCTTTAATGCTGGTGTCTTCCTTTTGGACTCTTCTTCCTCGCTCCCTACCGCCTTGCTATTCTCCACCATTCTAGGTTTGTCCTTTCCTTTATCTGACCTCCTCTCTCCTGGGAACCTGTCATCCACAGCCAGTCCTCAGCCCTTACCTCTGCAAACAACCCTCTGAATTCTCTCCAGCTCAGATCTCGAGTAATGGGATTTCCCATCTATCCCTGGGACATCCCTGCCTAGTCAGCAGTAGGCATTTTGCACACAGCATTGTCACTCACTTAATCCTCCTCTGCATTCTCCCTTAATCAACCAGTTGCCTAAGCCAGAAACTGGGAGTCATGTAGACCTCCTTCTGCTCACTCCCACACAATGAACCAAGTCCTGTCTTTCTATTTTAGCATCTCTGTGAAATCCATACCCTTCTTCACACCAATTCAGGTGGCTGCCACCTGAATATACTCTCCTCATTTCTTCCCTGGGTTACTCATTGCCTCACCTCATCTTCTTGTCCGTGCCCTCCTCCCTGAAGCCAGAGAGATCCTCCCCAAATGTTAACCTTCTCACAGCCTGTATTCCAGAGCTGTGGTATTTCTTCAGCTCGGGACCCATGGGCCTTGGCTTTGGGTACAAGGTGCTGGCAGCACTCTCCCTACTCTCCAGGCTTGCTTTGTCACTCCACGTTCACAGAACATGCCAATCTTGGAGTGATTCTCCCCAGCCTCCAAATATGCCTTTAACACAGTGCAAGTCCTTCTTCCTGGATCTCCCTTTTTCCTCCTCCCCACTACCGCCCTGACCAATTCTTCATCCCCAGGACTCAGTTGAAATATAGCCATTTCTGGGAAGGCATTCCTGATCCTCTTTGCCTACCCCTGCATATATTTTGATGCTGTAGGAAGTCTCCTTATTCATCTCATAGCAACACCCTGTGAATTGTTCTACCACAACCTGTATTTCAATTTTAATGTACTGTTGAGTTCCCTGGTATCAAGAGACTGACTCTTTTTTTATATTACTGCTTAGCCTCAGTAAATGAGTGAATGAAAATTCACGAGCCTTGGAAGTGACACTTCTTCCTCTGTATCCACTAGGAGTGGGTTGGTAATCTCGCAGCCTCTAAAACATCTGACATTTAGATAAATTGAGTGATCTGCCCATAATCTCTTTACCTTGTATATGCTCCCCACAATAGAAATTCTATCCTGCCCATCTTGTGCCCAAACACCTGATAGGGCTGGCCAATGAGTCAGGAAGTACTTAATAAGGGTTTGATGAATGAAAGAGACCTCTTTCCCAAACACTAACCTCAACCTCCAATTTCAGCCTTGCCCCTATCCCTCTGCTCCAGTAAGACACCAGCCACATCCCAGTCTAAAAGGTCAGTTGTTTTATTAGTTCTGAGGAAGAGGACTCACCCAGTGGACTCTATTCCTTTTTCCCACACTAAGCCCTCCCTCCCCCAATCCTGGGGCCCTCTCCCCACTACTACCTATTCCCTGTCCTCTATCTAAGCTTCCTTCCCCTTCTACTCCCTCTGCTGCCCTACCCATGGCCAGCCAGGACCCTGAGGCCAGGCCCTCAGCTGTGGGGGCGTGTGCTGAGCACCAGGCAAAGGGAGCTAAGACCGGCGCCTGCCTTCTCCAGTTCTGAGCAGGACACAGGTACCAGGGTGACGTCAGAGAGCTTCTGCAGTGCCTGCAGGGAGGACACGAAGTGAGAAGAGGGGAGTAAGGACCTGAGGCCACAGCCAGGCCCTTTTTCTAGCCAGCTGGGAGTGGCACCACCCAAGCTTCTAGAGAAGGTACCCCTTCTTCCTCCCACTAGGAAGGCCTAAGACTTCTTTCTCTGATTATTGTTGTTGGTGGAGCTCCTGCCTTCCCTCACCTCTTGGCTATTGGGCAGGTCCCCACCTCCACGGTGCAGCAGGAAAGGGGGCACACCGGGCAGTCCTGGACGTAGAAAGAGACAGTCAGCAGCCGCGTCATCTGGGAGGGTCAGGGACGCATAGGGGTGGTCCGTCAACACTGCCATCGCCTGAGGGAGAGGAAGGAGGAAGCAGTCAAGTCTAACAGCCTTTCCACAACCAAGTCTGATGGCCCTACCACCATTAAGGGCTGGGGACACATTTACATTTGTTGCATAATAATGAGCACAAGCACTTGCCCTCAGTTTGTGTCAGGCACTGCTCTTAGTGACAAAGGTCTTAGTAACCTTTGTTAAGTTCCGACCTGGACTCACAAGCAGTTCTTTCTACCTGCAACCCTCTTGTCCCCTTCTCCAGCCCACACTGGTCAATCTCATCCATCCTTTGTCATAGTTTAGACGCCCCCTTTGGGAAGTTTCTTGAAACTCGGGAAGATGATGGTAATCGACTGTACTCCCTGTCTCTGTCCTTAGTAGCGTCTTGCTTTCTGATGCGTTTTCACACTAGGTGGACGGCTCCGTGAGGGCAGGGGTTGAAGTTAATTCCCCAAACCTCCCAGCTCTCCGCATCCGCCAACCCCCAGAAGCCAAGCCTACTTGTTGGCCGCGCCCACCCAGCCCCGCCCCTCCTCACCCTGACAGCCTTTTGGGCTGCGTCGCTGCTACCGGCCACCACAGTGCGGGGCCCCCCCATGCCGCAGAGGCTGCGGAGGTGGCAGGGGCTCGAGACCGGCACAGTGGAGACAGCGAAGTCCTAGGGGCAACAAAAGAAAGTATTCGGAGTGCGGGAGGGGTGAGGGGATTCCCGCGTTTGCTCGGGGCTTCTCCCTCTTCGGCGCTGCCCCCCCTCCCTACCCCCCTAGCCCACCCACCCCCGCTTCCCCAGCGCGAAGCCTGTCCCGCTCCTCACCCGGAACGTGTCTGCCACGATCTCAGCTCCTCGGTGGTTGGTCCACTTGGAGAGGCCTACGAAGAACTCCCGGCCTGAGCCCAGGGAGGCCGTGGAGGTTTGAGAACCACAGTGAGTTGAACAAGGCCCCACCTGGCTCAGACTCCCCAACTCTGCTTCCCAGCGCCAAGCCTCAGGGATGCAGGCACCTAAGCCTCACCGGTAAAGAGAACATCAGTGCCATCCAGAGTCGCGTTCTCATCCCCCATCTCCACAATCCGGAGCCCAAGGTCCTGAAGGGCTTTGCGGACTCCATCGACCTTAGGGCAGGAAAGAGGGCGCGGGGCACAGACATTCCCACCCACAATTCGTAAAGCCCCGCAAGTCCAGCTCCTCCTTTCCCTTTATCCCGCCCCCCCCTCACCTCCGGCCTGCGGGCGGGGCTCCAGGGCCGCGTGATTAGGGCCGTGTCCCCTTGGATCACGGCGGTGTCACCAAGCAGCGGTCCCAGCGGCAGCGACTCTTCAGGAGGCAGTTCTAGCAGCTGCAGCCCCAATCGCTGCCTCAGTTTACCCCCCAGCACCCCGTGCTCCCTCTGAGCTTTAGCCAGGTCCAGAGCCGGGAGGCCAGCCCCCGCACCTTCCCCCGAAGCCAGGCTCTCCGGGACCCCCCGGATCAGGGCATGGGAGCAGCGGCCCAGCCCCTCCCCTGGCGTCCCCATCCCATCCACAGTCTCCCCCTCCGGCCACGCTGATTTCTCTAGTTTTCTCTTTTACTTCACCTGTCTGGGAGAAAAGACAGAAAGGGGAGGAGGCAGAGAAAGAGACATGCACAGAAGGACATCGGGGGATGGTTAAGAGCGCCTGGGTCTTCTTCTGCCACCTCCGGGCGCCCCTCCCACTTTACCCCACCCCCTCCAGACCTTCCTTTCCTGCCGACCCCATTCCACCCTGCACCCTTCTGAGTCGGCTTCTTTGGATGTAGTCTGAGGAACAAGATCGGGACCCCTAATCTTCAAAACACCTGTTGCCCCCTGTTCGGGGGCTTCGCGAGGTCCCTGCTAGGCGCCCCTCTTGGCAGCCGCTAGGATGCGCTCACTCCCCAAAAATGCAACGGCCCCGCCCCCTTAACCCTTAGCTGCTCGCTGCTGTAGGGACCTGAAGTGTGGCGAGGGACCCGAAGGGGTTATGGGCCAGGAGGAGACAGCTGCGGAGAGGGTCGGGGTCTGGAAGATGGAAGTCCTGAACGCCCGAACCCGAGAGGCAAAGAGGGGCAACGAGGAATTAGAATCTAAGGAGTTAAACATCCTCTCTCCACCCCGGCCGGCCGCGCTGCCTCTAGCGCGACCCAGTATAAACCAGACCGAGTCCCGGAGGACTGGGAGAGGTCTAAAACGAAATCCAAGGGGCGGGGAAACCGGGGGCGTGGTCCCAGGGAGCGGGCGCCACTCCCGGCTCCAGGACCCGGTCTCCTGGTTCATCTTCCCCAAAGTCTACCCCGCTCAGCTCCGCATCCAAATTTTGGCCTCCTGCACTCTTGTCCACTGCGGGCACGGGCTCGGCACCCTCAAACTCCAGCCCTCCACACGGTCCAGGGGACATCTCCAATCCCTAGACTTACCTCCCGCGGCTACCGGGACTCCTGCGCTCTGTGATCTTGGCTGGGCCCCACCCCCCTGAGGACAGAGTTGGTTGGAGAAGGGAGTCCTAGTCTTCAAGCCTCGGGGACTGGACCTCTCGGCTTTTGAGGGGTCTCGGGGTAGGCGAGCTCAAGAACTGCGGTGGGGCGGGGGCGCGACGGTCTGGCGGCTCCCGGGCATTGTCTAAGCGGGACGGGGCGGGGCCCCCGAGACCACGCCCATTCCGCCCTGCTAGGCCTCGCCGGCTCCGCCCGGACTGCGCTCCCCGCCTCCGAACTCGGCCCCGCCCCAAGTGCTGTCCAGGCCCATCCAGATCTGGCTGGCTCTGATGGCTGAGCTGCCAAAGCGACATGGACCGCAAGACGGCCTTACGGTGGACGGGCGCGAAAAATGGAAGTCGGACCACCAATACTCCTCTTCGAAATTCCTGGCTTCTGCCCTGAGCTCAAGGTCACCGACCCACTTCTCATTCCGTGTTACCCACTACTCAAGCCCCCTTTGTCTAAAACGACACTGTATTTCCAATCTGTATTTTATTACTGAAATACACTGTCCTACCCGCACCACCCCACAATAAAAATCTTACCTAGATTCCCCATCATCCCCTCCAGCCCCCCAGCCAGCCCTGTAGAAGCGCTTCAGGATTCTCTGCCCACTGGCCATTTTGAAGTGTGTCCTTTGGGTAGCCACGTGAAAACCAGCTGGTGTCTTTGTGGAGAAAATGGAGAGGAGAGACGGAGCCTCAGGAGGGACTTATTTGAGGGCCTTGGCCACTTGCTCATAAGCCAGCTCGATCTCCTCATCATCTGGACAGGTGGAGGCAAACTCCTCCCGAGCATAGGCATTACGCAAGTACCGATGCACTCCGCGGAACACCTCTGGGATGGAGAATCCCCTGTATTTCTTACACACCACCTGGGGGTGGGGAGAGAAGGAGGACCAACAAGTTATGTTAGCCTCAAGGAAGCCACACTAGCTGCTAGGCTCTTGGTCTTTCCCTTCTCCCAAGACTTATGGGATAAAATCTAGCCTTCCTGTCCAGGCATTCAAGAACCTCCACTACCTAACTTATTTTCCTGTGATTCTTATCTCCCACATGAATCATCTTCTCCAAAGGGCTTTCTTTTTTAAAAATATTTATTTATTTATTTATGATAGACATAGAGAGGGAGAGAGAGAGAGAGGCAGAGACACAGGAGGAGGGAGAAGCAGGCTCCATGCCGGGAGCCCGACGTGGGACTCGATCCCGGGACTCCAGGATTGCACCCTGGGCCAAAGGCAGGCGCCAAACCGCTAAGCCACCCAGGGATCCCCTCCAAAGGGCTTTCTTAACTCCTCACTATCTTCTCTGGTGTTTGCCCTTCCTTTCCACTTACTTAAATCCTGGCCATTTATAACCAGCTCCTTTTCAGACCACCCGTTCCATGGTGCCATTTCTCTCTTCTTGATTTTATTGAAATATAATTCATAAATCATAAAATTCTCCACTTGAATTTCCAGTGACTTTTGTCCCTATTTTTCATTTGGCTTTTAGTCATGTATTATTACTTAACTTTTGTGTGACTGTTTTATCTTCCCAGCTAGATTTCAAATCCTTTGAGGACAAGGGCCAATCGTGATACATCTCTGTATCTTTCAGTGCCTAGTACACAGATGTTCAGTACAGAGGTCTGTGGCCAACTGACATTAGGCCAAGGTTTTATAAAGTAAACCATAGTTTTGAGGCTAAGACAAAAACATGGGAACCAGTAGTTTTCATTTTTCATCTCAAGACAAAGTAAAGATGGATGCTCGAAAAAGAGTTAAGACTCTGATTTTAGGAAAAGGCTGCTTTGTCTGATCTGGGTATTTGGCAGTGATAGAGACAGGAAGCACACTCTTGACAGCAATGCAGGGGTATGTTACTCCTGGCCAGTCTGTTTGCACCCACAGCCTATATATCACAGAATGTAATTCTCTCAAACACTGGTCTGGTTCAATTCTCTCAAGCAATGACTGGTGAGAAGGAATGGGATGTCTGCTATTGGTAGCAATCCCTAGAAACCATCCTAAGAAAGAAACCACCTTTGGAGTGGTTGTCATGGGAAACCAGTGTGGGAGCTTCTGAAGGAGCCATTCCAGTGGCCACTCTCTGCTCCTACAATGACCACCCACCTGTACTATGTGGAGTTTTGGCAAGAGGTTGCAGTCAGCCAGAGTGAGCTCATTGCCATCCAGAAACTTCCGCTGTGAGATGCCCTCATCCTCAGCACTGGTCTCATCCACTTCTTCTGGGAGGGGGGATGTCAAGTAATTGTCTAAAACTTTCAGGGCTTTCAGGAGCCCCTTCTCCAGATCTGTGCAAGAAAGGGGAATTGGTAAGAACTTCAGGGGAGTGACATAGTCCAGGAGGGCCTGGGGAGTGTGTGTGTGTGTGTGGGGGGGGGCGGTGAATGAATACCAATGGTGAGCCAAATGAATACTAATGAATACTAATAACAAACTAATAACATCTGACACAAACACAGTTAGTTTTCCATGAGTTATTCTAAGCACTTCCCATACAGAAACTCACTGAATCAACCCATGAAATAAACAGGCATTGTTATCCTCATTTTATAGATCTAGAAATGGATTTACAGAGAGATTAAATGAACTGCCCAAAGTTATATAGCTTGTAGTGTTTGTACTCTGGTCGTCTGGATCAAGAGTTACTATTCTTTTTTTTTTTTTTTTCAATTTTTATTTATTTATGATAGTCATAGAGAGAGAGAGAGAGAGAGAGGCAGAGACACAGGCAGAGGGAGAAGCAGGCTCCATTCACCGGGAGCCCGACGTGGGATTCGATCCCGGGTCTCCAAGATCGCGCCCTGGGCCAAAGGCAGGTGCCAAACTGCTGTGCCACCCAGGGATCCCAAGAGTTACTATTCTTAAGCATGAAAACAGGCCATCAACCAACCTAACTAATGTCCTAGTGGGGGAGGAGAGGCTAGGTGACAAACGAGAGAAGCTTAAGTCACAGCCAATGAAAATGCAAGGAAATATGGGGTTAAAGCAAAAATAAGGGGGGGGGCAGGAGGCAGGGAGAGTGTGCCAATAGCTGCTCCATCTCCCTGATATTGGGATTTCCAGATCCAATCCTTGGATCTTCTCCAATCCTCCTAGGACCCTGGCCTCCAACCCTTAAGACTCACTATCTAAAAAAAAAAAATTAAAAAAAAAAAAAAAAAAAAAAGACTCACTATCATTGAGTGCCGGGTTTGAATTCTTGATGTAAGCAGAAAATTTGGCAAATATGTCCAGCCCAGCCGTGTTGGATTCAGGGTTCAGAGCTGCCAGCTTGGGGTACCTGAAAGCCAGTGGGAGAAACAGGATAAGATATCTTTTGGTTCCCCTGCTCCACCCCACCACAATTTCTGTTTTCCAGTTCTACAACCTCTCTCTTTCCTACAGTCTCCCAGCTACCCACCACTTCCTTTCAAGTGTCCTTGTACCTGGGAGGGCACAGCACTGCCTCCAGAAACTCCTCAATCTTGTTGGTGTCTGTGTGCACTTCAGTGCCATACAGAAGGAATGGGAGCTGCCCTCCTGGGCACAGCTTCTGTACTGTCTCGGTCCGCCTGGAGAAGAGGTCAGGCATCAGGACAGGAAAAGGGGGTCAGGGAGAAGCAGAGAGGGGAAATGGAGGGATGTGGAAAGAAAAAGGATCTCTGGGTGGAGGGAGGGCAAAAAGTGCAGGACGAAAGGACGAGGAGGATGGGTGAGTGTGTGTGTGCATATGTGTGTACATGAGGGGTGTTTAGAGGAACAGAAATTGGCCCACCTCTTGGTGTCAACAGTGGTTACGTTGAAGGTTACTCCTTTGAGCCAGAGTACCATGAACAGTCTCTGGGAGAAGGGGCAGTTCCCAATCTTGGCCCCATCACTGCCGGCCTGAAAAGCAACCCCCATCCCAGGGTTAGGCCTGGTACACCCAACCTACCCCAGGCCATTCTCTAGACCGCCTACTCCCAGATCTAGCGTTCTGCCTAGTCAGGACATGCAGCTCACTACTAAAAGCTCGCCCCCCCCCGCCCCCAGACATGGGCTCTCCACTCTGGAGGTGGAGCAAACCTAGGGCAGAGGTCAGCTTCTGGCTCCCCAGAGAGTTCAGGACAGGTGGGAGGTAGGCAGAGGGACTGGGTTGGGGAGAACTTGGGAGGATCTGGACCCTAGAGAGAGCAGACAAACAGTAATGCAGTTTTACATGCTATTCTAAGCACTTTACGCACAAAAATTTAATCCTAAAGTCCATAGAGAGAGACTTTGGTGAGGCCAGGGTTGTAGGCTAGAGAGGCCTGGATTCCTGAATCGAATAGAGCCTGTGAATGGGCAAGGTATGACTGGTTTGGAAGCCAGAGTTCTGGTTCTCTACACCTCCACCCAAGCTGTTTTTGGCAGCTGGGTGGGGAGTCAAGGGGCCTGGAGCCTCACCCTAAAGATGTAGTGGGCTTTGCAGAGGGGGGCTGCCTTCTAATTGGCAGGTGGTGACCTCATCCCCCAAGGGACCTCCCCCTAGGCTGAGGGTGATTCATCTCAGGCTGTCTCGCAGTCTCTGGCCTCAGCAGCTTCCTTCCTGGCAAGGAGTGGGGGCAGGGACCAGGGAGGCTGAGAGGCCTCGGCAGCTGAGGGCCACCTTCCTCTTCCCCACGCACTACTTGTGGGGTCTCCCAGCACACAGCCCCCAGCTCCAGATAACTCTCCTCACACTGGACCCAAGGCCAGAATCTGTAGCGCAGCCCCACCTAGGAATAAAAACAGCCCTTGAGGCTGAGTGTGAGTGAGGTGGGGACCACACCTAAGGGGGGGGGGGCGGACCCAGGCGCCAGGCAAGGCTGCGCCCAGGAAAGGCTTCCCTAGAAGCCCCAAGCAGAAAGGAGGGAGAAAGTGGCAGGACCTCACAAAGAAGGACAAACAAAGGGGGGTAAGTGGAAAGAAAGGCGGCAGGAAAGTGAAGGGTGGGGAGAATGTACAAACCAGGAGGCCTACACAGAGAGGGAGGTACAGAGATGAGATCCAGGCTTGGGGAAGAACGCCCCTGCAGCAGGGAGGGGAGCGGGGCAGAAAGAGTGAAGTCCGCTGTCTGCGCTTTCATCTCCAAGGGCCAAAGGACCGCTGTTCCTCATCCACACCCAGAGAGAGAGGACAGAGTTGGGGTGGCTCTCTTTTTCCTGTTTCTAAAACCCCAAGCCCTCAACAACCTAGCCCAGATCTCCTGCTGATCCCTCCCCCACCTACCCTCATGGTAGCCCCAGCTAAACTCTCAGCTGGCCACCTCCCAGTCTCTCGCTTCTGCCAGCCCCGGGGACCCTTCCCCACCCACCCCTCTCCGGCCCTGCTGCTAGAACTCCACTCTCATTCTCCCATCTCCTTCCACCTCACCAGTCCACCCCTGAGGATTTCCTCTCGGCCTCTCTCACCACACCCTCTTCCTTGAAACCAGCCCTGCCAAACACACGCGCGTGCACACACACACTCACATTTCTCCAAGTCTCCCCCAAGACACACAATCTGGTCTTCTCCCAGGACCACCTGTCCCAATGTTTCCTTCCCTCTGACCCTCCCAAATCCTGTTGGGTTTCAGTGCCCCCTTCTCTCCCTCTTCCCATCAGCTGGTTCCCACCCACATCCTCCACCCCACCCCCCAATCAATATTCTCAACTGTTGGGAACCCTCCCTTCTCCCTACCTTCCGGTCCTTTAGGCTGCTGGAAACTTGCACTCGTACAAACTTTTCAGGGTTGTGCACAGAATTCTCATCACCCGCTCCTACAATCGCCTTCCCGGCCCGACCCCCCCCCCCCGCCCCCCGCGATACAGGCACACCCAAGATTGCACCTGAGGCTGGGCAGGGGGTCTGGGTGGGAAGGGACTGGGGAGTTAAAGCTGGAACTGGGGAGAGGTGAGAGGTGCCTTCCAGGGATCGGGACACTGGCCTAGGAGGGAGACAGTGTTCCTACCTTCACGAACAGTTCAACCTGAGGTTGTTCTTCAGCCATGGTTGCGACGGGGACCAGGAAGCGGCGGCGCTGGGGGAACTGGGAGGGGCCCGGGCCAAGGAAGGCGGGTCTCACAAGCAGGGAGTCTGTCCCCCAGACCTAGGGCAGTCCCTTCAGCGCCACACGAGCCCGATGAGACCCGCTCACACGACCCACGGCCTCCCCAACGGCCCAGCGCACCCCACACCCAGCCCCTCCGGCTCTATCCCCTCCCAGGGTAGATCAGGGAGCCGCTGACTCACCGACCGGCTCCGCCCTGAACCTGGGGAGGGGACAGGAGGGGGGCGGGACTCAACGATCTAGGGAGTGGGTCGAGAGGGAGAGCCTCTGGGTCTCCTAGAGAGTAGGAGATGGGGGTGCTAAGGAGAGGGAATCCTGGAACCTCCTTGTTTCTCCACCAGTCTCCTTGAACACAGGACTTTTTTTTACTGCCTCAGTTTCCCTGCTGCGTTAATCAGGAGACACTCCCACTCTACCCTCACCCAAGAAACCACACCAACAGCTTGGTCAAGCCCGTGAGGGCCCAGGGAGGGAATTTTAGAATATGAAGGTGATTGTTTATTCCTTTTTCCATGTTCCTTCCAGACTCCAGCAGGACAGGGACTTGGAAGTGGACACTGAGATTGGGAGAAGAGAGTATTGAAAGGTTAGGGCAGGGGATGGGAAGAGAGACCACCAGGCCTTCTGCTAGGGAAACAAGCCAAAGGGCCTCATCACTGGGGGAGGTCTGTTCCTCCTCACTGGCCTCCTTAGCTTGAACGCTTCCACTCTTGCCCCCATTCCAGGCCCCTTCCTGTGACCCTTGCCCTTTTCTCACTGATAGGTTGAAGATAGAAGGGGGGGGGGACAGGGATATTGTAGCCCTAAAATAGGAGCTGCACTGATCTTGGATGGGAATGGTAGCTAGTCCTTTCATGAAAGAAAAAAAGCAAAGACCAAACGGAATATTTTAAGTGGAGTCCCCGGAGGCACAGACACAGAAATAGGGAGGTAGAGGAAGAGTAGCTTGATTTTGGAGGTTCTGGCAACTCCTGATGATCTGCTGAAAATGGCTTAATGATATGCCCTCCAAACTGGACATATTCCAGCCTCCATATCTTGAATCTCTCTTCTACCCTACCATACCTTCTCTTCCTTCCTCATCACTGCTGTCTAACAAGAGACCTACAGCTCCATAAAAACATGGTGGAGTGCAAGGACACAGAGAGGAGCAAAACAGGCTTTGACACATAAAGGAAGGGAGACCTGGGGCAGGACTTGGGTGGAGTGAGAGATGTGCTGCTGGGAGCCAGCAGTTAGTGGTTTCCTCTCCTGCTTCCTCTTCTGTGGGTTTTCTTCTCCCTGGGAGAAGGCCTATCTCTCTCCTCCCCAGAGAAGAGATATATTGTGTTTGAATTGTAAAGTCCCATAAGGTTTTAGAATGATTCCTTGAGTGTGTGTATACATGGGGGGGAGGGTCCTCCTCCATGGGTGACCCTCATTTTCTGCACACAGGACCCCTTGTCTGAGGAAAGGAGGCCAAAGCAGCCCCATTCTTAGGGTCCTCTTCTGCTCTAGTTGATCGATGTCCATCAGAGAATCTGCCCCACAAAGATCTCCCTTCTGGGAGATGCCTCAGGCAAATGGGGCCAGCCCTGAGCTCAAACAGGTTTTGGCAGCTTCTTCTCTGCCGCTTTTCCTCTCCTACAGCTTTATGGCTAGAGCTGGCTTGATCATCAATATTGACTTTGGCTGGCTGGCATGGCTACCCACAAGGTATTTTGCCTTAATTTCCCAGATGACAGGTAATGCTGCCCTCTCCTGGTACTATCCAGCAGTGCCTCCTGGGCTGCACCCCCAAATCCTGCCTCAGAGAATTTTCTCTCTGGTCTCATCTCCTTACCCCTGCTTTTCTCCTGTCTCAGTATCTACCCTTTCCTTCGAAGGATGGCTTCTTTTTTCACTCTCTCCCCTTCCTTGTCTTGGTAAACCAGTCCCTAATCTCTTTTCACCCCAGATTGGAAGGTGTGTCCCTCCCTGACACGCCTTAGAGTTGTGATGGTCTCTTCCAGGTTTCCATAGCTTCATTGCTCAACAGTTTGCCAGGGGTAACCATTAACCTAGCCCTTAACTCCCTCCCCTACTTTTCTTGCTAGAGGGGATTTTCCAATCATTGTTTAGAAGAGCCAGGTTACCCCACCATCTTCTCTAGCCTCTTGGATGGGATCTCCCCATCTCAGGGTACCTAAGGCAAAGCTAGAGAGGAAGATGCATTTTAAGGGATTTTTTTTTTTTTTTTAGTATATATTGATTTCTGTCCCCCTCACAATCTCCTTGCTTCTCCACTCCTTACACACACTAAAAAGTAAGCTTCATGAAGTCCATAATTAAATGTTCAGTACTTTGATTCTGCCACCTGGCCCAGAGTAGGCACTAAATAGTTGCTGGGTGAATGAATGACACCCCTGTCTTTAGGGGTGTGTGTGTGTATGTGTGCACCTGTGGAGGAGAGGTATAGACATGTCTCAGTGGGGGTGTAGGTGTTCTTATCAGTCTACTTCTCTCCATTGAATGCTTCTACCTCCTCTGGGGAGACCAAAATCAAAATTAGGCCCAGTTGGGATGCCTGGGTGACTCAGCAGTTGAGCGCCTGCCTTCAACCCAGGGCATGATCCTGGAGTCCGGGAATCGAGTCCCACATCAGGTCCCTGCATGGAGCCTGCCTCTCTGTGTGTCTCTAATGAATAAGTAAAATCTTAAAAAAAAAAAAAAAAAAAGGGCCCAGTAGCGCCCTTGCGGGGGTGGTAATACTCTGCACCAAGGAAATAGGCAAAGGAGGACTAAGATGGGAGTCTCACTTTATTTCTGCTTATTTATTTGAAACACGTAGTAGCTCTTACCAGTTTACCAGGTACTGTCCTAAGCTGTTCAACAAATATTAACTTAGTGGGTGCAAATATTAATTTAGAGCTGTTGGCACAGGTTTAATTGATGTAACTTATCTCCACTCTCCAGAAAAAAACGCAACTCCCCTCTGCTGCTTTAGCCCGCCCCACAGAACACCCCTACACCAGTTCCCTGGGCTCTGGTGCAAGCTCCACTTCGGACTTTCTAGCAGGCTCTACGTCGTGTCAATCAAAGGCCAGAGGGGATTTACCCCAAAGATTCAGATGCAATGAAACGCCGGGACACCTGCACCCCGATGTCTCTAGCAGCCATGTCCACAATAGCCAAACTGTGGAAGGAGCCTCAGTGTCCATCGAAAGATGAATGGATAAAGAAGATGTGGTCTATGGATACAATGGAATATTCCTCAGCCATTAGAAACGACAAATACCCACCATTTGCTTCGACGTGGATGGAACTGGAGGGTATTATGCTGAGTGAAGTAAGTCAATCGGAGAAGGACAGTGTATGTTCTCATTCATTTGGGGAAGATAGTGAAAGGGAATATAAGGGAAGGGAGAAGAAATGTGTGGGAAATATCAGAAAGGGAGACAGAACATGAAGACTCCTAACTCTGGGAAACGAACTAGGGGCGGTGGAGGGGGAGGTGGGCGGGGGGTGGGGGTGACTGGGTGAAGGGCACTGAGGGGGCACTTGACGGGATGAGCACTGGGTGTTATGCTATATGTTGGCAAATTGAACACCAATAAAAGATAAATTTATTTTTTAAAAAAATCTGGTAAAATGCTCAACCTACAGCCTGGTAAACTATATGTACTGAATAAATGTCAGTCACTAAGAAAGAAAAAAAAAAAACCAAAGGCCAGAACCAGGGAAGGCCAGCGGCGCCGGCGGGAAGTTTGAACGTTCTGGCACCGCCCCATATGCGAACGGGCCAATCAGCGTCCCGCCACCCAGCAACCGCGGCTCTCCCCCCCCCGTTCCATCTCCAGGCAGAATCCGGATCCCTCGGGCCAATAGCGACTTAGAGGGGCGGGGCGTGTGCGTGCGCACCCCGCCCTCATGCGGATACGCCCCTCTAGGCCGCGTGAGGCTGTAGTGACGGACTCTCGCTCACGTAGCGACCCAGGTGACTGAAAACGCGGGAAAACGCCGCTAGTTGGCCACGGCTGGGGTGGGAACGCCGCAAGGTTAGGGCTGCGATCGTGGTTGTGTGTGGTTGGCCATGGCGGAGAGAGGAGCCGTGCAGGCCCCCGCCCCGTCCTCCTGCCAGAAGCAACCACCCCCACGTGACTGACAGGAGGCCGGGCGAGTGGAGGTCTGCACCGTCTGGCTTCAGTGACGTAGCTCAGACGTCCCGGGTCAAGCCGGCCCGGCCCTCGCAGCGAGGGCCGTGCGCCTCAGCCCAGAAGTTCTGGGCTCTGCCCGCGCCCAGAAGTCCTGAGTGGATTTGCGTCCCTGCGCACCCCGACCCCGGCCTCCCGGCTCCTGAACTGACTTCGTCTTCTGCACCCACAGAGCCTCCGAGGCCATGGCCTCCGTCCGAGCGACCCCAGGCAGGACGCCGCAGGGCCCGCGGCCCCAGGCAGCCTTGGCCACCTGTTCCAGCCCGGCCCCCGTGCAGGGCCACGGGGAGGCCGAGGAGGAGGAGCAGGAGCAGGAGCAGGAGCCAGCGGAGGTCTCAGGGCGGCCATGCGGGAGCTTGGACCCCAAGAGCGGGGCGCTGGTTTGACCGTCGGGATGCTGGAATAAATGGGCTGGAAAGGGCTAGCTAGTCGCTGCCTCTGCTCAGTTACACACTGACTGAATGGGGGGTGATGATGCCTATCTCAGGGATTAGATAAAATGATTAAAATTAAGCAAGACATGACATAACCCTGCACTTACCAGCAGTTCAAGCCTGTTTTCTACCCCCCACCCCCTCGGGACAGATCCATCTGTGCGTCCTGTGGAATTCAGGATACTTAGGCATTGCCTATTATGACACCAGTGACTCCACCATCCACTTCATGCCAGATGCCCCGGACAACGAGAGTCTCAAGCTTCTCCAGAGAGGTGGGGGCAGAGGCCTGAGTTCCTCTACTTTGGGACTGAATGTGTATTTCATTCCCGTATCTTCACTTGACTCAATCTATTTTAGCAATTCACTCCTAGAGGCTCTCTGTGTCATTTATAGAAATGCATTTCATTATTCAACGAACGTTTATTATGTGTTTACAGTGTATCAGGTGCTGGAGATATAGTCCCAGGCAAACCAGTCATGTCTGTCCTTCAGAGGTTTATAGTCTAGTGACATCTCCAGGCCACTTCTCTTCCCTC